ATAAAAGTTTTTTAAAATTTATAAAAAGATAACTTAAAATAAAAAATTCCCTAGAAAAGGCAAACAAGTAAAGAGTATAAACAAACCATTTATTAAAGTAAACAACTAAAATATTTTTTTATTATACAAGTGATATTAAAAGAAGGGAATTCGAACATATAATATTAGTGTATGAGTAATTACTCGTAACCACTAAATTACAGATTAAAATAAAACATTGAGCTACAATCCCCATACATTAGCTAAAACGTTCATTGTGTAAATTATTTATTTTTATGATTTTTTGCATGTCGTCCGTGAGGGGTTGTTTTGCTTGACCGAGTCGTCACTGAAGTTGAGGTCTCCTCGCTGCTTAGAAAAAATCACATTATGTTTTGTCCCAACTGGTCGACCACATCAGATTCCTTACAATCAAGGGGCCCGCTGGAGCCCACACTTCATTGTGGGCCCATACAGAATTAGAGAGAGAGATCCACGAAGAAGTCACGAACAAATCCTTTTGCCCTTGACTCTTGCGCACCATACAAGTCAAACGGCTTGCTACAACAACGTCAAACGCGGCTCGGAGCGCCGAAACGAGAAACTGCGCGTTTTTTTGCCACGTCAGCGCCAGGAAATTTAGTAATTTAGTAATTTATTTTAATTAAATTTTTTTCTTTCCTTTTTTTTCTTAAAAAGAAGAAAGAAAAGGAGAAGAACAGCTTCATTTGCGCTTTTTCATTTCATATATTCGCTCTCTGTTTTTTTCTTTCTCTCTTCCTTTTGAAGAGAATGGAATTTCTGCAGGGCGCCGGGATCCGCGTTTCTCGATCAGAGCGACTCACCGCCACCACCTTCATCTTCCTCGCGCCTTACGCTCATCTTCTTCGCGCGTAATCACCATTTGCCATTTGCTAATCATTCCCTCTTCCCTGTAATTTTTCTTCTCTTTTCTTCTCTTTTCCTCTCTCGAATTCGTGTTCATATCGACATTGCTATTGTTTAACTGTCTCTTCATTTGCTGTTACAAATTTTGAGATAATAAAAATCGCTTGATTCGTTTTTGTGAGCGCCGAGCGCCGTTTCGTTTGAAGATCTCGCTGATTTCGTTGTCGTCGTGGCCGTTTTAGCCACTGATGTCGACGATTTCTTATTAATATTAACGAGATCGATGATTAGATTGGAGAATGCGCGAAACGCAGCGTTTGATTATCAATACAAGCAAAGCAATTGACTTCGTTGCCAATCACAGCACACCACATTTTCCTTAAAGCCAAGATTTTTTTCCCATTTCACCACATCATATATATATATTTATTTTCTTTTTTTAATCCAATTCTTCAACATGGGCAAGCATTGACTAAACAAAGCCAAGTGGTGAGCTGTTGCCGTGGTTGAAGGTTTTTTTTTGTTGTTTTTATATATTTTTCTTGTGGTGGGACAGACAAATGGACACACGCTACTATTTTGCTTGCCAAAAAAGCTTTTAGCTTTTCCAGCTTGCAAAAAAACAAATAAATCCAACATGCCTGTAACATGTCATGTATGTATGAATATGAATGAACGAGCTCTGATTGTTTACAGCACTGCCTATTTTATGTGAATTTCGGTGGGGTGCCTGGGTGAGTCACAGACCAGACCAAGCCGATGAGCCATTGAAATCCCCAGCTGTTCGAGCTTCTGAGCCGCTCATTAATATTTAATAGCGCGACTGATTAATTGACTTCACTCACGCTGAGTTGGTTGTTTAGATAATTGGCGCCGAGAATTCCGCACTCTCCAGGTGGAGGACAAGGGGTTAGGTTTCAAGCCAAAAAGTGGTGCCCCGAAATAAATGTGTCCGTGGGGCCCAGGCCATATGGGGCCCACATTTAATCAAAATCCCCCTATGTTCAACTACGTGACATTAACATAGTGCTTATTGTTTTTCATTTGCGCTGTTTCCTTGGTTAACAATGGACATTTCTCTAAGAAAAGTTTTTTTTTTTTTTCCAATCAAAACAATAGAAAAGAAAAGTTTTTTTAAAAAAAATTTATAAAAAGATAACTTAAAATAAAGATTTCCATTGGGGTTCGATCTCCGCTCATGGGAATGGAGCGCATTTCGTGACCAGCCGTTTACCTCCATTGGGAGAGCTCCCGCGGCGAAAGGGATTAGTCATTGCTGCCGGCGGTGGATACCCTTGGGTCTCACCTAAAAAAAAAAAAAAAAATTCCCTAGAAAAAGCAAACAAGTAAAGAGCATGAACAAACTATTTATTAAAGTTAACAGTTAAAACGTTTTTCAATTATATACAAGTGATATTGAAAGAAGGAGATTCGAACATATAACTTTTGTGTATGAGTAATTGCTCGTGACCATTTAATTATAGACTAAAATATTCATTGGGATGCATTGGCACGAAGTTGCTTTTCTATTATATACAAGTGATATTGAAAAAAGGAGATTCGAACATATAACTTTGGTGTATGAGTAATTGCTCGTGACCATTTAATTATAGACTAAAATATTCATTGGGATGCATTGGCACGAAGTTGCTTTTCTATTATATACAAGTGATATTGAAAAAAGGAGATTCGAACATATAACTTTGGTGTATGAGTAATTGCTCGTGACCATTTAATTATAGACTAAAATATTCATTGGGATGCATTGGCACGAAGTTGCTTTTCTATTATATACAAGTGATATTGAAAAAAGGAGATTCGAACATATAACTTTGGTGTATGAGTAATTGCTCGTGACCATTATAAAAGTTTTTTAAAATTTATAAAAAGATAACTTAAAATAAAAAATTCCCTAGAAAAGGCAAACAAGTAAAGAGTATAAACAAACCATTTATTAAAGTAAACAACTAAAATATTTTTTTATTATACAAGTGATATTAAAAGAAGGGAATTCGAACATATAATATTAGTGTATGAGTAATTACTCGTAACCACTAAATTACAGATTAAAATAAAACATTGAGCTACAATCCCCATACATTAGCTAAAACGTTCATTGTGTAAATTATTTATTTTTATGATTTTTTGCATGTCGTCCGTGAGGGGTTGTTTTGCTTGACCGAGTCGTCACTGAAGTTGAGGTCTCCTCGCTGCTTAGAAAAAATCACATTATGTTTTGTCCCAACTGGTCGACCACATCAGATTCCTTACAATCAAGGGGCCCGCTGGAGCCCACACTTCATTGTGGGCCCATACAGAATTAGAGAGAGAGATCCACGAAGAAGTCACGAACAAATCCTTTTGCCCTTGACTCTTGCGCACCATACAAGTCAAACGGCTTGCTACAACAACGTCAAACGCGGCTCGGAGCGCCGAAACGAGAAACTGCGCGTTTTTTTGCCACGTCAGCGCCAGGAAATTTAGTAATTTAGTAATTTATTTTAATTAAATTTTTTTCTTTCCTTTTTTTTCTTAAAAAGAAGAAAGAAAAGGAGAAGAACAGCTTCATTTGCGCTTTTTCATTTCATATATTCGCTCTCTGTTTTTTTCTTTCTCTCTTCCTTTTGAAGAGAATGGAATTTCTGCAGGGCGCCGGGATCCGCGTTTCTCGATCAGAGCGACTCACCGCCCCCACCTTCATCTTCCTCGCGCCTTACGCTCATCTTCTTCGCGCGTAATCACCATTTGCCATTTGCTAATCATTCCCTCTTCCCTGTAATTTTTCTTCTCTTTTCTTCTCTTTTCCTCTCTCGAATTCGTGTTCATATCGACATTGCTATTGTTTAACTGTCTCTTCATTTGCTGTTACAAATTTTGAGATAATAAAAATCGCTTGATTCGTTTTTGTGAGCGCCGAGCGCCGTTTCGTTTGAAGATCTCGCTGATTTCGTTGTCGTCGTGGCCGTTTTAGCCACTGATGTCGACGATTTCTTATTAATATTAACGAGATCGATGATTAGATTGGAGAATGCGCGAAACGCAGCGTTTGATTTACGTGCGTTTATTTTTTTGCTGGCTTTGTTTTGCAGGATTTGGTTGGAGAATCGGAGATGGAAGATTAGAGGTTGTAGGAGGAGGAGGATATTGAGACTGTGTTGAGGTGTTTGGGTGTGGGGGAACAATGTCCAACAAGAATGAGAATCATCAGACGGTTCCGCTCTCGGTGCTGCTGAAGCGTGAATTGGCCAATGAGAAGATTGAGAGACCCGAGATTGTGCACGGTCAGGCGAGTCAGAGCAAGAAGGGGGAGGATTTTACGCTGGTAAAGACGGAATGTCAAAGAGTTGTGGGAGATGGAGTGTCGACGTATTCAGTTTTTGGGGTATTTTTCTGTCTTTCTCCGTTTCTTCTGTTTTTATCATTTTTACCTGGTCTGCCATTTATATTGAAGAAAATGTAGAATTGGCTAAGAAGTTAATATTGATGTTAATCAAAAGGGAAAACAATGGTTTGTTTGAGTTTGTTGATCAGCTGGTTTTGGTGGATTTTTGTTGACATGCTTTCCCTCTTTTGTCTTTTGATATATGTAGTTTTCTTATTTATGATGTTATCACTTAGCATAAGCTCTATTTCATGTTTAGACAAACTAGATGTATTTGAATATGCAGTTGATAGCGGTGATTGTTAGACTAGCTATTGCTCAAGGATGTGGGAATTATGCTGGGAATATTAAACTTCCGCATATGTTTTGTAAACAAGTTCTTTTAAGCCATTTTAAGACTTGTGCAGCTAGGTCTGCCAAAACAACTATTGTTACATTTTGTAGGATCTATTAGGTTGATGTTTTATTTTGATTGCCCCTTCTACCTAATCTTGGGAACTCTTTTTACTTCTATTTCCAAGTTTTACTGATACTACCGAAACCACTATTGAAGCATGGGTATCCTCTACTAATGAATTGATAATCATTCAAAGCTTGATGGTTACTGCTTAAGTGCTCTGGATTGCTCTTACTGAACCATGTCTTGCAGCTATTTGATGGGCATAACGGGTCTGCTGCTGCTATTTACTCAAAGGAGAATCTTCTAAATAATGTTTTAGCTGCTATGCCTTCAGATCTTAACA